AGATGTCTACACGCAATCTAGAAGCCTTTTTAGTGCCAACACGTTTAACCTTGTTTTCATGAGTAAATACTTTACAAGCAGGTAATTCAAAGTTGCATCACACTCATACGTTTCACTGATTATATCTTGTAAAATGTCCCTGTTGATTCACCGTTGCTCTCCACTGTGTTAGCTATTTTGCTCTGACATTCAGCGAGAAGGAGTCTGAAGTTGTTTGTTCTCTGTATTGCCATTTTCATGACGTTTCCCAGTAAACACATCATGTCAATTTAACTCTAAATGTAAAATCTGACACCATCCAAGTGTTTCCACGAATCCACACCCAGCTGCAAAGAGCTGTTGTTGTTTGTCAGCAGTTTTCCTATCAGCACTTGTCAACTCCAAATAAGTGTCACAAAATAAAAATTGCACTTACAGTAATAACGCTGGAAACTGCTGTGTGGCATCGCTATTCCTGTCACTGCTGTGTGTAGACATGCGTGTTTGTGCATGAGCGTGGATGTGTGTGTTTTGCGTGTGTGTGTTACAGGGGTTACTAATGAAGTGTTGAAATGAAGAGGGATTAGGATGTGGGGCTGACATTGACAAATGTGATACTAAGTGGGTAAAGGTGTCTATGAATAAACCAACCCAAGTGCGCAAATGCACATACACACACACACGCACATATCTTTGTGCTGCAGATCAGGGTGAAGTCTTAACAGACGGGTGCTATAAATGATTCTGAATGCCCCCTGACAAAACTTGATATTGGGACCATCAATGCCGTGTGTCTAACTTTGATAAGTATTGTCTCACCTTTAGAGGCTGTGCTGGAACAATTCTGCCATTCATGGGCTGTGAGCAATCCACTGTTATTGTGCCTTAGACAGCCAGGCTCATTATCATGAGTGATGGATGACATGGAATGTTTTTATCACATTTTAAAAGTGTATCTGTAATCCATTGCAGCCACTGTAAAAACACACAGTAAGGGGATTATTCAGCAGATGCAGCATAATCAGAAAGTCGTGTTATATATTTTTATTCCTGCTGTGATTGTGGAAGTATTTGTAATGGCTTGCATGTGACTGACACGTTTATAACCTTCCGTCATGTCGACCGGCCCTTGTTATGTTAAGTGAAGGTTAACGTTCTCATGACTCCCAGGTAAATGATGTTTAGAGTTGTGCATTATGACGATACGCTATATCCCTCCAAGGGATTTTAAAATGTGACGTGTATGTGTTTTGTTGGTGTAAATCACTGATACTAGCCTGAGTGGACCAAGAGCTTTAAAAGTGTAACACAAGCTACAAAATGTAGTACTCACTATGTGGGTTAAAAGAGTTATTGGTCCCTCTAGTCATTCCTCCTCTCCACACTCAAGTCACCTTCCTAGCAAGACTACGCTGTAAAAAAAAAAGAAAGAAAAGTGCAACAAAATATAGTTTTCTGCAAAAATGCTTCTAATATGAGGCTACAACAGTGTGAGTTACCCAAACCAAGTGGATATGCTCCAAATGTAAGCTCTTTTAATACCATACTCCCACTGTGTTTCCACGGACAGTATTTCCTTGGTGAGCTGTGGCGGAGAGATACATCCTGGCAGTCACATGTGGGTTTGTTGCGAGGAAACAACAGCAGCAATAATCCTACGCACTGGCAGATCAAAGATACCTTCTCGATTTGGCTAACTAAAATTAGCCTTTAAGTAGCATCACCTGATGTTTGGAATGCATGTTTGCACAGAGCGAAGAGGATTTTGTCCCCCATCTTTCATTGTGTAGTTGCATATGGAACAGATCGCTTCACACATGATGAGGAGAAATGACTACAATGACCCCTAACACTTTCAATGCGGGTTATGGCATGTGAGTGATGTACTAGACTCGAAACAATCTAATAAAAATGCCTCTTAATCCTCTTGATCAGGTTCAGGACATGCAGAAAATATTGTTTCTGATAGACTTTACACGGACTAATCGAGATACAGGCAGCAGTTAGGACACACATAAAGTTTTTATATGTTATACAACCTTGGTACATTTTACGCATGGCTGAAAGAGTCATCAAACTAAAGTAACCATTGATTTGGGATCAAACAGATTCATGACTTGGGTATAAAGAAATACTTCTTTGAAGTTCTGGCCAAATGAGTATCATGAGACCACTCCTGACTGGCCTTGTAACCTTATACATGTGCCAGTGTGCCAGTTAGCTGAGCAGTCCCAGAAACAACAACTTTACAGCTTTGTTCAGCTTTTGCGACATGCTGTTTTTTTTCCTCTAACTTCTTTTTATGTCGTTTTATTAATGCTGTTTTTTTTGGCAGGAAGTTTTCTTTAAAGTTTGACAGCTTGGCTTGGTGTCACCCACGGATCCCGGGCGTCCTCGGGTTTTCACCACATTTAATGGTAGTTTTAAGCTGGCCTTTTCTGAAAACAAATCAAAACAAGTGTCTTTTGTTTTGGGTTTGATAGATCAGGCACAATGGACTGAGGAGGGTAGTTTAGCAGTGGGAATAAGAGTGGGGGTGAGTATGTGTGTCCTTACGTGATTGTGTCTGTGTGTATGTGCAAACACATGTGCGTGTATTGGCCTAGAGAGCCGAAGATCTGCCCTACTTTCAGGCTAGTATTTCTTTTGTTAGCATTCAACAACTTCCCTTGATATGTTGATGGTGTGCCTGTTTGTAAGACTCACTGAAGCTGTACTTGTTGAATGTTAACAAAATAATTGTTGTTTTATCAACGTTAAAATGTCATGGGACTCCGATGTTAGCAGATTCTACAGCAGTAGATGGGTTTACCTTCAAATAAGGACAAAGGACGGAGGTATTATGTTTCAGCTTTGTAGAAAGACTGATTAACAAAACCTTAAAATATGCATTGTAATGGTGGCATGTGGAAAGGTAGTGGAAGACTGTGACTTTCTATAGTCAAGAGAGTAACAGTGCCTTGAATCTGTATAGATGGGGTTATGCATTTGCATATTTGCACTGTGCAAAAGGGGCAAGAATAGAAGAAAATATTGAACAAGCTAATATCTTTAAGCCACTATGTGTGTGTGTGTGTGTGTGTGTGTGTGTGTGTGTTTATCCAGCCTGGAAACACGGCATGCTAAAGACCAATTCTAAGCTAAAAAACTTAATGGAAAGCTGCATCTTCAGTAGATCCGGCCAGCGCGTTTCTCAGGTTACATAGCATTATTCTCACAAAATGAATTGCTGGGATCTCTGAGCACAGTGACATCGCTAAAAATAGGCTGGACGGTGCAAGAACCACAAGTGACTTGAGAACTGTAGCTCAAAGTTGAACTGGGAAGTTGTTTGATAATCTGAGACCCAATGGCCAGAACTTCAAGCTCTAAACATTAAAATGTCAGATTACTGGTTTAAATTGCCCAAATCTTCCATGACATGTTTTTTTTTTTTTTTTCTCTTGTTTTTCCTCCTTATATAAAGCATTTTTACCACACCACTGGTGAAATGCAGGACTACAGACCGTGCCCTTGTCTGATACTGCATTGCATGTCAGCCAAAGCAGGAGAATTATAATTCTGCCTTAATATGCTCCTTTTATGATTTGTTGGATGTTCAATCTTAATCTCAAAGTTGGTTTACTTAACATGCAGTTGTGGTTCTCACAGTCACATCCGATCCGAGCTTAAGAACCCTCTATTGGGATTCCGGGTCTAAGTCCATCAGTGATGAAAGGGCTTGGA